TCTTGGTGTCTCATAAATGCTAGACCCTCTCTCTTATTTGATTGCGTGCCGGATTTTCGTACAACGCTAAGACGATAAACTTTATATTTATCTACCCCCGCAAATACTCCTGTACGCAACAAAATTATATTTAAGATACTTTATTATTTTGAGTTAAATCAAATCATTGTTGATGTCAATTGATTTATCTTGTTAATATTTTTTGCTTGATTATAAATTTGAAGAAATCTGGTTTAGATGATTTTAAATTTAACTTTTATTTTTTATTTTTTTTACATATGAATCACGTGTTCAATCGGATCGATTTTTAATTATTAATCAATCATCATGTGAATTTTTTTCCCTTGTAAGAGAATTACGGCTTGAGCATTGCTGTAAAGGGTATTGATGATGGGGAAAATTTTCTATTTGTACGTTTAAACTTAAATTAATTATTAAATTATTTTAAGATTAGTATAATTTTTATTATATGTTGTCAAAGTAAATTTAATGGATAAATTTGAGTCAAATGTCCGAACCTAAAAGTGTACCATAATGATATGTCTGTGCAAGAAAATAAGTGGATCTGGCCTTTAATTAAGGTTTTGTTTGGGACGGCTTTCTCCCTGCTTCTTAAAGCGGTTTTCTAGTATAAAAATTTTAACTTTTTAACTAAAAAGTCGCTTTAAGAAGCAAGAAGAAAGCCATCCCAAACGAAGCCTAAGATTTATTAAATTGCAAGTGGCTGTGGTACCTATACTTATTTTAATAATATCGAAATTTGACCTTTGTACGCGTTATTCATTGAACAATGGAATTATAGATTTCATAATCTAGAACTAGATAATCTACATGATTACTTATGTTTGCTTAGTTGTTTTAATTGATTTTCTTCGGTGTCTCACCGAGAAATTATTTTGTGCGGACGTTAGACTGTTTAGAGGCGAATTAGAACACGTCATGTCACTCGGTACATAATAAATGGGCGACGAGGCACGTTCTGATTCGCCTCCTGATGGCATCTATATCCACAGAATAATTTCATTATTTTTGGGTGGAAAAATAAGATGGCAAAAAAAAAATGTTGGATTCAAAATTGTTTATGGATGACACCCGAGTTTACTGGCATGCCAATTTCATGAGTAAGTGACTTTGAACTTATGTGAAAATGGAGAGAGAAGATTATGCTAAAGAAGAGTTGGAATGGAAGTGCTCAAAAGCTCAATTAATCCAAGATCAATCACTAGATTAGTGATTGATAAATTACAGTTTAGAAAGGTGCAAAGAGTTTTCTACACTTTTTATTTATATGGTTCTAAGGGTTATAATTAAGAAAGGTCACACCTATAAAAAAAATAAGAAGTACGATGCTATATAGATTATCTAAGACACTTGTCGCCTTGTACTTGGCTAAGGGAGAGCGGGGGCTGTAGAGCTCTGGTGATATGTATTTGGGTGAGCTCAATAATGTCTAGTATATATTAAGCGAGTTTAGTAGTGCATAGTAGGAGGGGTGAATCTATGATCAAGTGGTGTTTGATGGTTGAATGATATTTGAGAGCATCTAGTGATCTGTGATTAGCCTTGGATAGCCTAAGGAGTAGGTGAGTGAACTAATGTGGTGGAAAAGATGAACTTAATGGTCGGTTGATTATGGTGAGTTGAGCTGAGGGCTCTCTGGGCAGTCGCTTTCTTGTAGTTGAGATTGGATCTTGGAATATAAATAAATTTGCCCTAGCGCAAGGGTGGTTAATGTGATGGCTAACCCTTTTCACGGGGTGAATGGTAACTTACTTGGTTGAAGATATCCTGCATAACCCCTCCAAAAGAGCGACCTTCCTGCATAAGCTCAGGCGAGTGGAGACTAATATTATTTTGGATGAGTTCCTTTGTGGGGCCCACTGGATGTGAATAATCTCCTTTTAAGTCGCTGATATGTGAGTACATATATGATTATTAAAGTATTGTTGGCTTGATGATCTTGTAGATGCACACTAATTTTATCCTTTTACATACATAATTATAATAAAAATGGATGATAATATTATAATTAAATATGAGGAGGACATACTAAGTTGGATTTTTTTGGAGGTTGTTGTAATTTAAAAGTTGATTAATTTTTTGTGTTTATTTTCAAATAAATTTAAAGATTTTAAAATTCATTAAGAATAAAATTTTAATAAGAATAAGTCTCATGTACTTTTTATTTTTATTTTGAAACTTTTCTATGTGAAGCGACGATAGGACGATGATGATTGTATGACTACAAATGTAGGCGTCGATTATTGAAGGATGACAAACAAATATTCATGATTGAATCACGTCAGACACGTTAGCATTTGTTATTGTTAGTTGGTGGTTATCATTTAAGGGAGTCTTCAACATTGGTTAATGGGCATAGATCTAAGATTATTTATGGGTTTATTTTACTTGAAGAAAAAGGGGTGCAAAATATTTTAGATACATGAGTTTTGAAAATATTTGTGTTTGGGTTGAAGCAAAATTAATGCAAAGTCAAAAATTTAAGTATTTGGAATACATCATTTAATTTTTAATTTATTTAGAATTTGCACAATTTTGAGCCAACTTCAAATGCATCGCAAGAGAAATTTTTTGCCTAATATCGCATTTGATGTCATCGTTGTTCTCAATCGTTGCCTCTGCCATCATTGTCATTCTCAACCATCGCCTTTGCCACCCAATGTTGGTGCCACCCAACCCTCTACCAGCCAGCCATTACCGTCGTCGTCACCCTCCAATCACTATCAACCACCATAATCATTAAGCTTTGCATTGTTTTTATTTTAATTCAAATTGAACATAAAAAATAAACACCTATATTTATTTTCTTACATTTCTTTTACACACTATTTTATTTTATTTTGTGTTCCATTTTTCAGCAAAGCAAATAGGCCCTAAATCCAAAAACTCTCTTCCCTTGGGTCCTATTTGATGGGATGAAGGCTTACTTCTAGAGTTTTTGAGTGTTTGAAAGCTACTCAAACACTTTGTGATACAAATTAGAATGATATTTTTAATCATTTGATACTTTTTCAATTTACATTTGTTGAAATCGAAGTTCGCAAGTTCTCAAAGTAGATTCTAGAAATTTCTAATTCAAATACTTGTTCCAAGAATCACATTTGATCGGATAAATTTTTTTGATAATTTATCGATCATGTCAACTAAATACAGACATATTAATGGAGTCACAAAAAAATTAGGAAATGTAAATTTTGATTTATTTTGATAAACACATTGTAATTATTTTGAGGTTCAAAATTATATTCACATTCAATATGGGGTATATTCTAAAAAAAAAGTTTAACTAATCATTTGAATATTTTTTTAAAAAATTATTGTTTATTTTATTAAAAAAATAAAATCACTAAATTGCATTTAGCATAAAAAATTCAATTATTTTGATAATATATTTCAAATAAAATAAAATCAATATAAATGGACATGAAAATTATTACTTAAAAAATTTTATCATTTGATGAATATTGGATACATTATACATCAAATGATTTAAGTGTTGTAAATGAAAAGATTTTAATATATTTGAATATTTTGCCTTGCTAACAAGTGACAAACTCTTATGGTACTACGTTGAATGATATTGTTTGTATTTGTACTCTAAAATAAAAGTCCAAAATTTAAATTCTGATAAAAATAATGCTCATTTTATTATTGAGCTACTAATTTTTTCATGACTTTAATTTTAACAAAATCTGCAATCATTTTTTTTTTTCAAATACAATAACTTTTTTTACTCTTCATAAAGTGCAAAATATTGGAAAATTTTTATGTCGGGATGTATTGATCAAATTTTGAGTTAGTATTGTACATCATTGTTCATATGCTCAACATCTTGATGAGTCGCAACCTTGTATGAGCAGACAACATATAAACGAATTGTAATATTTAAGAAACTTACTAAAGGATTGGATATTAGATTAACTGACCCTAACCAATCTCTGTGCTGAGGGTCCAATCACCACAGAAAGAGTTTGTCCTAATAAGTCACTTGCCTTAATACAGGTGGATCTTAGAAGAACTCTCCCTCGTGAGGGCAATCACCTCTACCAAAAGACCACTAGCAAGCAGCACCATTAGCAGGAAATGCTCATCTATTCCAACACAATAATAACTATTACGTCTGCTTAGCCAACACCTCAACCTGAGAGGTTTTTCATCAAAGAAACTCGCTAAAGCTGGCACTCATTAGAGGTGTCTCAGGGCCACATTATAGATGATTGTCTACATATAGCCACAAAGTTCTTGTCTATATGTCAGTAGTAATCAAATTATATATTATTTTATTATTCCATATTTGTAGTTTCTTTTTATAATAGTCATTTAAGAACTTGTAGAATCTCTCCACGATAAGGCAATAGCCCGATAAGTCTTTTAGAAAGTTCATATTCATATGCTAGGATTAAAGTAATGATGAAGAAAGCCTACTCTAGATAGATTTCATAACAAGGATCTTGGAAAGATAAATCATAACATTACAAATGCACATTTCTTTAGAAGTCATGAATCACTCATTATGACAAATTAAGAAAATTAGTATATCAATGATATAATAGCCTACTCATAAAAAGACTACTATACTAATAAAAGATAGATATTTGCTATATCCAACTACAACAAGATATTCAACAAGCAAGCAACGGGCACAATGGAAGACCACCACTTCCTTAAGAATCATAAAATATAGTTTATCATGCAGCCTTCATAATCCTATAAATATGGGGTTGAAAGGTATTTTTAGGACTTCATATAAATTTTTTTATTATTCACAGAGTAAAATAATCATAAAACTCTTCTCTTTATTAGCCCATTTATTTTGTTATTGCTCTATTATTCTAATTAGCCTTTTTTTCTATTTTGTTAAGAAAACAAATTAGGCCTATTACACAGGCTCTGTTGCTATTCGGCCCATTTAAAGCCCAGTGTAAATAGAGTAATATAACGTCCTAGTAGGTCCTACCAACATCTTATACGCCATCAGACGGTTCTGGTTCCAACTTATCCGACGACTCTACTTTCTTCATATATTATTCATTGTTCTCCTCTGAAAACCCTAGACATCGCAGAAGAAAACCTTAGAAGCAGCGGCTTCAGCTTGGGAATTTCGATACAAGATGAAGGTATCATGAAATTCTCATTTAGCAAAAAGAATGATTCGATTTCTTTTGTTCTTTCGTTGTTCTGTATATCTTGTGCTGTTTATGACTATTTTTCACGTTATTGATTGCAGTTCAATATTGCAAATCCGACCACTGGGTGTCAAAAGAAACTCGAAATCGATGACGATCAAAAACTGTAAGACCTCCTTGGAAATTCGATTATTTGGTCTTGGAGATGTGTTGAACTGTTGGTGTTTTTTTTTTTCCTTCATCCATCGCTAGATTTACATTTTTTTTACTTACCTTAAGCTGACCTGAATTTTGTTATCCTTTTGTTATGTCGTTCTAGAAATCGATTTTTCGCCACTTTATTTAACATTTTGCTGGAGTGCTGTTTTTCTGTTTCAGTATATTTGTTTGAATCAGAAATGAAGTTGTTGTTTTATTTACTCTGTAGAATAGAAGTGTTGGGTTCATCTATAGGCTGTTTTGCTCAGCAAAGACTAAATTCCAGGGTCTCGTTGTTACTATTACTTGTACAACATATAAAAACCTAGGATAAAATGTCTTGTAGGCAGAGTTTGCCTGGCCGGATCTTTCGCAATCATCAGGTTAGAATGCGCACATGAAGCAAGTCAGAAACTTATATTTGCCTCCTTGATGGACTTCTAAACCTTGGAGTATTTCTTATGCTAGGTGTGATAGTTTAAGCTTTGAAATTGAGTGCTGCTACTGAAGGTTGAGTGCTGCTACTGAAGGTTTGCCATTGATATCATAAGTCCTTCAGAAACTGTCATATTTGTTTTATGAATCACTTTTTACTCTTTTCTTATTGCCCGCCTTATAGAGCGCTTGTTGTTTGTTTTAGTTTGGCTGCATAACTAGTTTGAGACTAGTATGACTCGACTATTATGCTCAATAATTGTCAGTTTTCTTATCCTAGATAACATCTGCAAGTGCATAATACATATACTAATGAGGTCTAATATAGATTGATCAATTAAGTGGGGTTAGCTGTAAAGAAGATGCAGAAAGGCAAAGTTTTAGGTCTAGATGAGAAACTTATTTAGATTGGAGAGTTATGGACGGTATTGGAATAATTTGATTAGCAAATATTTTGCTACAATTTTGAAGGCTAAGAGTTTTCAAAGGATTGGATGTGAAACATTTTGATATCAATATTCAAGATCAAAGGAGGTGTTTTGAATTGTGGTGATTATAATGGATTCAATAGTATGTACAATAAAGTTTTGTGAATGAGAATGGGGAGAAATGTTGATATAAAAAATCAAATGTTAGGTATTTTTTGTGCTAAGAAAAATAATAGTAATGTATAAAGAGTAAAGATAAGATTTGTCATATGGTTTGTGTTGATCTCAAGAAGGCATATAATAAACTGTCAAAAGCATTGATTTGACGGATAATGAGGAAAAAAGTTGTTGCTTAAGTTTATGCTGAAGTTATTTGATATATGTATGATGAAGCTTTTAACCAATTGCTGTTTTTTTTTTTTTTTTTTTTTTTATTTTCCAAATTTTTTTTTTTTTTTTTTTTAATTTACCAAATTGTTGTTGTTGTGGAGTGACCAAGAGCTCTTGTTCCCAATCATAATAATATGACATCATAGATTAAGATGACGTTTTTTATATTAGGAGTTATCATGGTGTATGAATTTTGATTGTAATATTTTTCTAATGAGATAAAATTCTGTTAAAATAAGTGAAAGTTAAAAGCAAATTGAGGAAATTTTAGAAGATAAATATCAGTTGATCAAAGATTGAGTAAACAATATCCAATTTTAGTGGGTGTGACATTAATTATTCTCTATTAATATACTAGTAGATAAAGTGACATCTTGGTGTGATAAGGTATGTTGAATTTATATTTTATACTATAAAAGAATAAGGATAATTGCGACTATATGAATGCTAGAGTTTAGACTTTGTGGTTAAAATAAAGAATTACCTGAAAAGAGTTTGTGATAAGAAAATATCATGGATATTTAAAAGGTAAATTTTGCAAAATTATTGTGAGGTTGACTATGTTGTACGAATCAAGGTATTGGGTTGTAAATAAACTATTCTGTTACTATTGATATCAAAATTGAGCCTAAAAAATATGAGAGTGCTAAGATGAATGTGTTGTAAAATGGGAATTCATTGATTGAGAACTTGTTATATTTGACAGACAATTGAAGAAACATAGGTTGAAGATGAGGCAATGAAAAAGAAAGTTGCTTAGTTGAACATTTACAACAAAAGGTAGAAACTCAACTAATAACATGTGTTAAAGATGAGAGGAGCCTTGGCGGCACACTTGCTTAATGCTTGATGAGCTAGGCAGTTTAGGCTCTTAAGTGAACAGAGGTGCTAAAAAAATTCACATGTTTTAATTATGAGGAATTACTTTTGGAGAGTATAATATGATAAACATCATAATAGAATAGTAAAATGTAGTAGGTAAATAAAGTAACATCTATTGAAGATAAGATTGTAAAAAATAAAGTTGGTTGGATGACATTTATAACAAAAGATGAAATATTAACTCATAAGACGAGTAGTCTTTTTAAAAATGAGAGAAATCCTCAAGGCGATGTGATTGGTTAATGCGTGAGGAGCTAGGAGGCTTAGTGTCTCATCTAAGTGAAGTGAGGTGCCAAAAGAATTCACTTATTTTAATTATGAAGATTTACCTTTGGAGAGTATGTTATGATAATCATCATAATATAATACAACAACTTCAAGCCTTTATCTCACAACGTGGAGTTGGCTACATGAATTATTTTTCTCCATTATGTCATGCTAAACATCAAATTCTCATTTAAATATAATGAAGAAAGGTCATTCTAATATTTTCTAACCAAATCTTTTGAGGTCTACCTCTGCCTTTCTTAATATATGCCAAATCTACTACATCTACTTTCATAACCGGCGCATCGGAAGGCCGCCGTTTTATGTGACCAAACCATCTAAGGCGATTCTCTATAATCTTATCTTCCATTGGAGCCACTCCAACCTTTTCACTTATATGCTCATCTCGTATCCTGTTTCTAAGAGTAAATCCACTCATCCGCCCTAGCATTCTCATCTCTGCAACACTTAACTTAATATTATGCTTCTTTTTTAATAGCCAACATTATGCACCAAGCATTGCATATCTCACCACCACCTTATAGAATTATCCCTTAAGTTTGAGGGGGACTTTTCTATCACACAACAAGCCAGATGCATTCCTCCACTTCAACCATCCAACTTGAATTCTCCTAATGATATCCCCATCTATTTCACCATCACTCTTAACAATAGACCCTTTTTTTTGTATTATGTATACAAAAATGATAAAAACCCAAATAGATTGTCCAAAATAAAATGCCAACAAGGACCACAAGTTTTGTTTTAAGTTTAAACAATCAAATAAAAGCTTAAGTTGCTACTTCTACACTATAAGGTTAATCCAATATTCACCACTATATCTTTCATTTTCTTAATCACCCATATTTTTTTTGTTAATTTGATTTGTAGCCTTTCTTCTCATATTATCGCTGTATGCATGTTTTAAAAATAACAAAAAATTGCATCATAGAAACAAGCATATGATGCTTGTCGCCTTGCATCAAGGAAGCTCACCTGGAGTGTACCTTAGTGATGTCACTCATGTAGGTGTTTGAGGTGCTACCATGGCTCGCATCATGATGAAGGTGTCCAGGGGAGTGACTTCAGCTTTTGAAAAAAACTAAATGATAGTAAAAGAATAATGTTGAAGGATTGGGATGAAAAATGGCTAGACCATAGTGGATAGAAGTTTTGCAAAATATAAATTCAACACGTCACGCAGAACTTGGCAGGCAGAAGTGAAAATTGAGAAAAAAAAAAGGTTTGGATCAGGTATACGATGATGGTCATGATAATGATCATGATGTTTTGTTTCAATTTGAGAACATTCCACCGAATTTAAAATGCACCATTCTTGTTTACCAAATTTACATTGCTCTTTGTATTTTGGCGGGAGCTGGCAGGTAGTGTGGGATTTAGATGGAAGATGAGATGAACGGAGAATCATCTCTAACACCAACCTTGGGTGGGGAAGGGAAGAGAGTGATTGTGAATGTTAGATAAGAGAGATATAAAGGTAGGGCTGGAGATTCATTCTTATTACATATTAATTTTATGTTTCGGGAGGTAAGTAATTCTGTTGTAGTAAGAAGATAAAAAAACTTCTGAATCAAACTGTAAGGGTCTTACCTGACCAAGGAATGAGGGATGGATCCAGCTCTCCCACTCCCATTTGATTGGTTTCAATGGGAGATTTGGTTTTGGAGGTGGGGAAGATGGAGCTGGTGGGGGTTTGTTTGGTTGAGCTTAATTGATCTAAAAGCTTTGAGCCTTTAAGTGTTATGATAATTGGGGGGACCTGGGATAGCTGTTAAGTGTGGGTTCAGATAGAATTGCTCGTGTTCTTATTTTTTGTTCAGAAAGAGTGGTGAGAGACGGGAGTAAGAGGTATTCAGAAAGATATTGGCTTTACTGTAGGGTTGTCTACCTTTCCTATTAGATCTGTGTTGTTGAGAATTTTGTACATTTTAATTTGTCATTTCTGATGCAATTTTAACTCATTATGCAGCCGGGCATTCTATGACAAGCGTATCTCACAGGAAGTAAGTGGAGATGCCCTTGGGGAGGTATAACAAGCAATATTTGTTGTTCTATCACATCATCTTTATTTTCTAAATTTTGATTAATTGCTTCAAAATATATTGTTGTTAAGGTGTGCGTATTAGGATCCATTTATTCCCAACCTTGTTATTGTGGCAGGAATTCAAGGGCTACGTTTTTAAGATTATGGGAGGATGTGATAAGCAGGGATTTCCCATGAAGCAGGGAGTGCTGACTCCTGGACGTGTTCGCTTGTTGCTTAGCAGAGGTAAAGCTCTATTTCTTTTAGACTTCTTTTGGGACAGCTTTCTTCTTGCTTCTTAAAGTAGTTTATTTAGTTAAAATTTTTTAATTTTTTACCTAAAATGCTGCTTTAAAAAACAATAAATAGACCGTCGCAAACGAAACTTTAGTCGCATATTCTGCACAGCTCATTCTTTCCAACTCCAAACAACATTTTTGAATGTGAATCAGGAACCCCTTGCTTCCGAGGATATGGAAGGCGCAATGGAGAGCGTCGGAGGAAGTCTGTTCGTGGTTGTATTGTCAGCCCAGACCTATCTGTCCTGAATCTTGTGATTGTTAAGAAAGGTGAAAATGATCTTCCTGGCTTAACTGACATTGAGAAGCCTCGGATGAGAGGCCCAAAGAGGGCCTCTAAAATCCGCAAGCTTTTCAATCTCTCCAAGGAAGACGATGTCCGCAAATATGTCAACACTTATCGTCGCACTTTCACCACCAAATCCGGTCGGTTTAACTATCAACCTTGTTTTTGCTTGTTCTAGAATTTAGTTTTTTGAAGCTGTTTTTACCCTTTTTAATATAATTTCTATGCAGGGAAGAAGTGCAGTAAGGCACCAAAGATTCAGAGGCTGGTTACTCCCCTTACGCTGCAGAGGAAGCGTGCCAGGATTGCAGAGAAGAAGAGGAGGATTGTGAAGGCAAAGTCTGAGGCGGCTGAGTACCAAAAGCTTCTTGCTTCGAGGCTCAAGGAACAGAGAGAACGCAGGAGTGAGAGCTTAGCCAAGCGCAGATCAAAGCTTTCTGCTGCATCAAAGCCGTCCGTTGCTGCTTAAGCACAATCTCAATAAGGAAAATTAAGTTTTAGGTGGTTGTTGTAATGGCCTCAAGAAAACCTAATTTTGATGTGTGTTGAGTGAGTTTTGAGGAGTTTTGTTATTTATAGTATCTTTGTTCTTGAAGTACAATATCTTTATTTTACTTGGGTTAAAATATATTTTATGTTTTAGATAAGCATTATTTTAGTTTTTATTAATATTATAAAAGATGGTGGTGATTGGTTTAAAATTAATGGATATTAATGAATAATCTAGTGCTGATTGGTATCACCATCTGCAATTATCTGTAATCTAGTGTTTATCTCGGTTTATTTTAACATTATTTATGTTTGTATCAAGGAATCTGAAAGTGTAGAGAAGCCTACTTGAATGAGATTCAAATCCCATTTGATATTCTAATTAGAACTTAGGATTCTCCTTATTCTCCCTCATATTATACCAATGACTTCTAGCATTAGGAGGCGCAATAATTTCATTCAAATTTGTAGAAGAAAAGATAGTTAATACTCTTCCTTTTATTCGATGGGTTTATAATCATCTAATTTAAAATTCAATTAATGCTTTGTCAGAATTATAATATTATTTGATATAATTATAATGATATGAAGGTTGCCATTAAGTTTTTAGTGATTTGTGAAGTAATTATTGATATATATTATTTAGTGAAGCGTTGATATACAAGAATTGATTGTTTTTATTTGATGTATTAAATTATCACTAATTCATAAGAGAGATTATTACGTGCGGAATCAAGACCAAAGAATCGTTCACTTTTTATGAGTGTGCATAGCTAAAAACACAATAAAAGCGCATTTATTATTCACCACTTCGCTTTCGCAAAAACTGGATGCATCTTCGATCAAGACTCCGCACAGAATAATCTCTCAATTTATAGGGCATCTTATATACATGATTCCCTGTGTAATGTTATAATATTTGTCTGTGAACTCCTAAATATTGAAGTTCTTTAACAAGTTTGTTGCAATGGGATTTTTTATCAAACAAGCTATAAACATGCAAGCACAATTATAACACAATAAACTATAATTTTGATAAGGAAAAGCACTATATATATATAGTAGATTACATTAGAAATTAGGGTAAAAAGAAGAGAAGAAAACCCCATGTCATGATCTTATAGCATATAGAATAGTCACAGTAAATTACATTAGGAATCGCATCAAATTTAAAATTGCGAGTAACGTAGGAATTACAATAAAGCTTAAAAGAATGCTAAAATAAGCCCAATCTATTAATGACCTGCACAAGTTAGACGCTTCGAGCCAAATCCTCAGCTAGTTCGAGACAAAACAAGTTAATAGAAACTGGTCATGATCATATCAGATAAACAAAGATTCGAGCACAAATATATAATGCCAATTACATATATGAATGCAGAGACACAAAACAATGAACGCCAACACACCTGGCAGAGAAAAAAAGGTATCCTCCTCTACAGGTTCATAGCTATGATACGGACAAAAGCTCTCTCTTAATCTCAAGCTGCAACAACTAGCCCATTTGTGCTCTCTCTCTCTCTCTTTCAGAAGTGAAGTAGATATTACTATAAGCCTTATAATCTGGAAAACTAAGTACATAAAAATACAATCAAAATATGGCTCAAATAAACACATGTCATGCCCATCCATAAAGCACAAATGAACTCTGAAGCAGAAGAGATACCAAATGATAGAATCAGGAAGACTGGCAGCACGTCCTGTTCTTGGGGATCACCTGTGCAGGACCAGCAACAACTATTTTCTTTCCGGCAAGTGGCGGAGGACCGCCTCCGTTGGATTGTGCATCGGCGGAAAGGTTTCGCTTGCTGATGATGCCGAATATCTCGGTAAGAACGGTCATGAAAGCAGCCTCAACATTTGTGGCTTCAAGGGCCGAAGTCTCTAAGAAGAAGAGACCTTCCTTCTGCGCGAACTCCTTGGCATCCTCAGTTGACACTGCCCTTTGATCTTCCAGGTCAGATTTGTTCCCGACCAGCATGATAACAATATTTTTGTCGGCATGGCCCCGTAGCTCTTCCAACCATCGTGGTATGTGATCGAAGCTCTGGCGTTTGGTAATGTCATAGACGAGCAGGGCACCGACAGCGCCTCGGTAATATGCGCTCGTCACTGCTCTATACCTGTAAAAGTTTGTCAGTGCAAAAGCCAAAGTAGCATATCCTGATAATTGACATTACATAGCAGTTGGCAAACATTGCAATAAAGCTACAGCTCTTGTTAACGTGCCAACACAAAAATATATATGATATGAAAGAGTCTCAAAAGTAAATATGTAAAAAATAAAATATGCTAGCAGAAAAGATGTCATATAAACCATAAGAAATCATAAACAAGCTGATGAAAAATAAAATCCTATATTACACAGCCATATCCTACTTGGATGAATATTAGGTTATCAGAAGTCATTGATCTTTTTGCCAGAAAAATTCTTTTTTTTTAACCTACTTAAAGTCACAAACAAAATAAAAAATGTGCCAGTTCAATATGCTGCGCATGCATGAACCATAAGCAAACATGGATATAGGTTTTCGTTTACACTTTCATAACTTGTCTTTCTTACACCTCTCTTCTGCCTTTACATCTTCATTTACGTTGCGAACACACAGGCAGTAAGCAGACGTATAAAAAAAAGGGATGCGGCGCAGAGGCAATAAGTAGGCTTATAATCAACAAAGATAGCATAAGATTTTGCTTTATGAAAGGTCTTGTTAATTGTAATGTAATAGGATTCTCGTCTGGTGTAGAATGCTTTACAGTTTACAATTTGTAACATAGATCTAAGATTTGTTGTGCAGATATAGCACACAATATAAATTTAGATTGAACCAACTGACGCAACAAATGTAAAAAACAAGGTATTAATCTCAAAATAAAAATTTACTACTTTTAATGAAAATAGAAATTTATTAAATCCAATTCAAGTGAACAGATTCTAGCTCTACTGAATATTAGTAACAACTAACAAGAAATTAAAGATAATGAAAGTCGCAATGGATTGATTTCTAGATTGTAGAAGATTTGAAAGAAGCCAACTGCACTTTTAAGGAAAAAAAGAGGAGCAGGGACGGGAATAGAAAAAAAAAAAGATAAAAGGAGAACATTACCAAGAAAGCAAGCTCCATCCTCTAGGGAGAGTTTCAGATCTCCCATTTGATCAAAATCAAAATCCTAAAATAGATGAGGAAGAATGGCATTCACATCCTAAGTAAAAAAAATCCTGTTTGTCATGGAATCGCTCTTTCATATACCTCAAACCTTATTCATAAACTTGAAGAAAATCGAACAGAATAGGGTAGCACAGGAGGAAGAAAAAACTGAAGCCAACAAAGAATCTGCAATCCTCGTACACAGGAATCGCTGTAGTCTGATTTTAGCTTTTTGACGTATGTAGTGGATCTTTTGAGAAGAGGATGCAAGAAGGAAGGCCCAACTGGAGAACAAACCAAGCTCAAAAGTTAATAATATTATTTCATATCTCCCCCTTCCTACTACAACCAATATATATAATCTACTCTTAGAATATTCTAGAGCTTTCTAGAAAGCTTGGTACAAAGGTAGATAAATTATTCATAATATGTGCTATAACTAAGATGTTCCACATCATACTCCCCTTACGTCAAAAGAGCTCGACTCCATCGAGGGGCATCATTGGGAGATAGATAGGTGTAGGAACACGAGTAATCCTCCTGGGTCGAAGATTTTGCTTCTTTATTGTATGCCCACCAACTTATTCATTAATGAATTTCTAAACATGTTTTGAACTAGTCCTTTCCGATCTCTGCGGGACTTGCTATGTATTGACACAAGTATGTTGAATGTATAGAAATTGGGCTACATTTCTTCAGAAGTAGCAACATCAATCTACCCAATCTTCACATATCCATCCAAAAGGAAATGTAAGTAATAATATTTGTGTTTCAAGCCCATCTTCTATGATTCGATCAAATACAGAATACGCTTTCATAACAACATAAAACTGCAACCATTCGGCTCAAGATTGTACTTTGGAAACAACCAAACCAACCCTTCCCCTGCTGCAACCATTTCATTGAGGCACGATCCAAGAATCATTGCATCCAACATTCTTTCAGCTTCATCAACATTCCCAACACAAGAAGAAACTGTAATAACAAATAAATAACTCCAACCATTAGGCCTACACGCATCCTGCAACCCCTCCATCTCTTTAAAAATCTCAACAGTTTCATCAATATACCCAACGTCAGCACACAGAGACAAAAGCATGCTATATAAAACCACATTGAGCGCCATGGACTGCCTCATCTCCCTATACACAGTCAGGGCATCCACGGAATACTAAGCTTGGGAATAAGCTTTGATAAGCACATAATAAGTAATTCTATCTGGTAATGTCTTATTACCAACCGTCTCCTTAAAAATGGTCTTCCACCTCTACCCATGACCTCCAACTGGTTGTAAGTGACCAAATTTGGCTTCACACCAAGTGCTTTCATTTCCTCGAACACATTGAGTGCACCATTGAAATTACCGGTTACATGCATGATCATATAAAGCAAGAGCCATCTCTACATTGCCCATGCGGTCATAAGCATCGATCAAGGATGAGTAAGTGACGTCATCTGGACTCAATCCGAATTTTGGCATCTTCTCGAACCACTCCACCATCTTTTGGGTTACTCCATAAGCTTCATCCAGTTTGCCTGAATTCCTCAAACCTTCAATCAAAGTAGTGCAGGTCACCACTCCGACAGACTTCCCCATTTCCCAGAATAATCTAAGAATTTCCAATCCCTTCTCTGCTTTTCCTTCCTCACAGAGCTTTTCAATCATTACCAAGCAATCAAACTCATCTCTCACCATTCCCTTAGCCATGAGATTCATCAAAAGATCACATGCTTCCTCATTTCTTCCATCCCTGAAAAGGCTATGAATCAGAATTTTGCAGGAGGTTTGAAGCCAAGGTCTAGCATCTCCAATGCATAACCAATTCCTTGGATCTCTTCTTCCTAAGGAATCCCACGATCAAAGTATTGAAACTGATTGCATTCAGTTCTAGGTTTTTTTTATTTCATCTCTCGAAACCAGGTTGCAGCGGAATTGAACTCAGAGTTTCAGCAGGCATGATGAAGTAGGATGTTGAAGGTATGGGTTTCATGCTTCATGCGATCCTTGATCATCGTCTCATACCATTCTCCCCACATCATCTCAGGAGTTTCTTCAAATATCTGGATCGCGCTAGAGCGGATCGACGTGGGAGTGGGGGTGGGAGCAAAATCGAGCTGGAGCAAATTGGTATCGCTGGTATGGTCGCGAGAGGAAGTAGAGTCAGACCGTACGAGATCGGGTTGGACGCCATGTGCAGGATTGCGCTCAAGGCCAAGCACGGGATCATAGGCGTGGAGTGGGGACGGGAGCGAAGTAAGGGATGCAGGTCGTGTGGGTGTTGGTTTGGTCGCGAGAGGAAGCGGAGGTAGATAAATTATTTCTAAGATGTGCTATAACTAAGTCGTTCCACATCACTTTCTATTAGCCATAAGAAGACCCCAGGTGGAGAAATAGAAGCTACTTAGAGGATAAGACACTGAGATTAAAAATGCCCGACAAAGAAATCAAAATTCATAAATTATGAAAAACGCAAATGTGGGCTTCAAAAATTCCATTTTTGATGTGATCCCGACCTCTCCACATCATCCGTCTATATATTTTTTTTAGTGTTTTTGTGGCGATGACATCAAAGAGTTTTAACGAGATTAGGTTCAGAGGGAATTTTCAGAAGGCGGATTAGGTTTTAGATAAGACACTACCCAGAGATTTCGTCCTCATTTTGTGAGGACTTTTTTATCTGAGTTCTGGTTTCCTATAGGGGCAAGCCCCTATAGTTAATTACCCCTCCCGATAATAGGAGAGAACTTTCGATTAAGGCTAGTCGTTAAGGAGGTCAAATAGTTTATAAACCCATCGTATAATAGTAATAGTTTTAGGGTTTAAATCTTGGATTTAAATTTTGAAGTTTGGAATTTAGAGTTTATCACCATAAACTTAAAACTGGTGGTGGGGGGAATGAAGACGAGCCTAATCAAGATCCCATGGTTTCGTCGTCCCGGGCTGTCAGGATCCCTGGTCTACTTAGTCAGAGGAGGTAGTCGACCCAACCTGACAAAAGGCACCTTATCGACAGCCATGGGTTGTTTTGTCCAAGAATACCTTGTAGACCTAGGTTGGTATTTGTCTAAGAGGATATATATGAATCCACCTTAGCTGACAGAGGGCTTTATGCCTATCAGATATACCCTATGATTCATCGCTCAATGGTTTGACGCCTTTAGGGAACCTACGGGCTTTGGCCATGATCGTAATATAATTGTGCCATTTTGCGGCAAAACCACCCGATCAGAGGGCATGTGCCACGTCCCTGTTGACAAGAGAGTGTTTGAGGATGAATCAAAGTGATACACCCGACATGTATTCGCTCTTTATGAGCTGAGATTAATTTCAAATTTATCACCCCCGACAAATGGTTGTGGGAGGTGGATGATTTTTAGTTTTAAGTTTTTAAGTGAAAGTTTTCATTTTAGAGATTTAGAATTTTGTTGAGTTTGAGATTTGACCCCTCCGGTTGAGATTTTATGTCAACACGGCCATCATCGGGGTGGCTTTAAAATCACTTATATTTTTGTAGGATTTTGAGAGGTATTTTATAATTCAAGTTGTGTTGACTACAGTCCTTTCAAGGAGGATGAAACCTGAATATTTGGCCCGCACAGCATTCTCGAATCGTTGGATTTGGGACTTATATGTAACGATTGGAGTACATGCGGGTAGTATTTAGTTTACAAATATAATGTTATATTAACGAGCATTTGACCATGCGCAACATTCTCGGACTTTGTTATTTATAAATTTATTATATTTGTCAGAGCACATGCAGGGTGTATTTAATTCAAGGAATTATATTTAATACATAAGGGGGGCATTTTGAAATATTTAAATATGATCCATTTAATCAAGTAATTTCATTTAACAATAGTCCAAGATTTCATTTAAGGGCCTACGAACGCCTTCTGCCCGCTTGTACACATGTTGCGGATCTGGTGGCGTTAAAGTGTATTAGATTTCACTTTTTCATTTTAAACATATT